TTAACTCATTCTCATCCGGTGGAAAAGTAGCAATTTCGAGTGGTGTTGTTTCAAACGCTTATATCTCTCAAACTATACATCGCACGGAAACAGAAATTGCATCGTTCGAAAGAGGAGGACTTCTGCTTTCCAACGATACCAATTTCAATTTCATCCGGAGCTTGGTTAACGATTTACTCGCATGAATTTGCATAAATTATGAGATAAAAAAATGTCGCAATTATGCATAAATGTATTTAGCGGTTCAAATTTCAAATATGTCAAAAAAATTTATGAATATGACTGAAAGACATGGTTATGATCTACAAGTACCCGAAGTTTCATGCATGTAGCATAAATAGAAATATTTTTATTGAATTTTTATATAAACTAGGTAGTGGAGTAAAATTTACATTTTGTGCTCACATGAAACAAATACCTTTATCAAAGGTCCTTTTTTATTGCTGCAACATGTTGTCAATACAAATTTCCAATATTTCTTACTCTCCAAAGATAGTAATCATAGTATGGCACCAAAATAAGTCTGTGATACCCACAAAAAAAAACACTCAAATCATGATTAGCAAAATGTCTTTATTTCTACATTATTACTACATACATTCTTAGATAATCATTACACCATTTATTTTAGTTATTAGTGGCGTAACCAGCCTCAAAATTTGGTCATGCTATTCAAATTTGAAATAATCACTACTTAATTGTTTAGAAATTGATTGTTTTCACAATCTAGAACATGAAAATATTTGCAAATAGCATGACCAAGTGTTGTTGGGCTAGCATCATCATAATTAGCAGTTATAAAAAAGTAATGTTTTCCTAGGCAGTAATGTTTGCTAAAGCAGTAATGTTTGCCAAAGCACATAATTGGATTATGTGGTGAAAATATTTCCTTTATATTGTACTACAAAAGACCTAAGACTGTAACCAAACTGGTATCAGATCACCACGTCATACCCAAATCTGTTGCGATGAATATCTGGACTTCTTCCTGTATAAATTTCAAAGTCGCAATATAACCATTAGGATTGTCTCACAGATTTATTCCCCACATAGTAGGTCATCTAGCTTTCATGAACTGCCTAACCCCCAACCTATTTCTTGATTTGACAGTGTGTTTGTCTGCAACAACAATATTCTGTGACGGCTGGTACAGTTGTTGAGGCAGTTTATTGCTGTAGTCTTTAGTACAGGATCTACCATATTCACAAACGCCATAAGTGCTTTGTACCTAACCCGAGAAATTATGTCTATTGCCCACAGACCATGATATAAGGTTTTACACTCCAATAATTTTCAATCTCACTGTCGATCTTTAGCAAACCTGCATATTATACTAAAAGGCAATCAACCTCTCAAGGTTGGTGGACTGCAAGACCCTTTTTTATTAGTATATGGGGATAACTTTTGAGTTATTTGTATGTGGGCATATGTATTGGTATGGCCAGGAAACTACCTCCTGAAGCATTCCCTTAGTAAAAAAGAGTCGAATGAACTCAAGCTCACAGTTCATTGAGCCGAATGAACTCAAGCTCAAAGTTGATTGAAATGGATCCCGGACATGTCAGTGAGGAGCAAAATCTGGGAGAACATTCCTGGCATCAGGATCATCATATCCGTCATGTACTATGGGGCCTAGTGGGGATGCTAGACAGGGAGCTTTCGAAACCTTAGGTCCTAATGGCTGGGCTTCCCTCTACCTCTACTCATCCCCCTACCTTCCCTCTGGGTTGGTGAGTGGGGTTCTCATGACTCATCAGAACTCTATGAAACAGGAACAGCAGATAGGAACAGGATCAATATATTCATCAGTGCGAACAAAACTTTTATAGACATGGTGCCACTTAAAATTATAATAAGAGCCAACTAGTAAGATATAAGGCCACATAAAAAAAAATAGTTGGTTAGTGTCCCCACCCACCCACAAAAAAGGCCCCGCTCAGGATTTTTTTTTATTTTTTATTTTAAAATACCCCGATTTTTATTGATCAACGGGCTCTAATATATGTAGTATTTCTGTTGACTGTAGTCAATTGTGTTAATAATTTGCGAAATTGCGTGCGAAAATGACGGTATGAATTATATTTTGAAATATATAAAAAAATATCTGTACTGCACAAGAAAATCCAGCTTCGGACCTAACAGTGAGTAAAACCAAGGCGTTAAAAATTAGTAAAAATTAAAAAAAAAAGCGCCCACCCGCCCACTTTTTGGCAAAAGCTAAGGACGCTAACCAACTATTTTTTTTTATATGGCCTAAGTATGAATACTTGGCTATTACGTATGTAACAAACAACCAAACATGTACTCAAGGCTCATTTTACTTCGCCTAGGAATCAGAGATTTTTATGCCTAAAACACCATAAATTTTCGTCAACAATATAAATAAATACCATTTATATTTGTCAATTTCAGTATGAAACGATTATTTCAACACAAAAAAGCGATATGAGGACATACTTGGTTGTACTAGTGAAGCTATACTAAATACAAATAAATTTACAACGCCATGGCAACGGCAAAACATTGAAATAGAAATTGTCTAGAAATGATACAAATACTTGCCTTGAAACTCCAGACACGACTCCCAATGCCAGGTTGAGATACTTGTCTTCATACGAAGACATTCCATCATTACTAGCACTATCAGTTTGCAAAATAAAGCCAAAAACGTCTTCAGAATGCGATTCAAACAAAACTACAACACAATACATTTCAACGCTTGTGCGTTCCCGTGCGCGATAATCAGGAAAATTGCTCTAAAAGATTTGTTTTTCTGCCTAAGCCAATCAAAATCCGTATCTAGGGTAAACAAACACTCCGGAAGTGATTCCTGCAGTCTTTTACCAGGAAACTGTAATGCTTTACCAAGAATTTGGCGTCCGAAGTTGGCCGAACACTTTCCGATCACGAGAATTGCCATAATAGGCTTAGATTATTTTGCAATTTCCCGAGACTGCTCCGAGCTATAGAATGGAAGATGGCGATTCTTTTGGTATATTTGTTATTATTATGCGTTGAAAAGAAGCAAAAAGACGAGCATTTGAATCAGGCGGAACATTCAAAATGCAACAGCAAAATTGATAATGTGTCATTTGCATAAATTTCACCGCATTGATCATTTCAAGGTAAGAAATTCGCTTGAAATTGAGCGAGAAACAATAAAATTATATGAATATTTCTGAATATATAGTATCGATCAAGCGGAATTTTTTGGTGGTATTTTCGTATGTCTACTGCAAATACTCGCGAAGTTCTTTAATATTTAATCTTCCCGTCATATACGTCGGAAATTAATATTGGCGGATCGAATTGAGTTAATGACATACAATTTACATACTTTATTTGTCAAAGAAAGAGCCGTGCCCATTAGTGGGTTAACCAAATTTTCCATCTAATGCCAGAGGATTTTATTTGGCAAGGGTGTGATAGCCTTGTGCATTAGATACTTGTAATTAACTTGAACAAAATTACTAATTTTACATATTTTTTGGACAGTCCTTTACATTTTTATGTCCTTTCATGGGATTTTTGCATGATCGACAATATCTTGGCTTTCGTAAAACGGTTTGAGTCATTGAAGATTCATTCACTAAAACACAAAAAATATGTAATCAGTTGATATCCTCAAAAATTTCACAAGAGAGCACAATGTAAATATTCTTCTCTTGTTAATTAAATGTATTTTACAACTTGTCTTTGCTTTAAGAATATACCTTGCACAGTCCTAGGCACTTCTTGTACAACCATGGATTTCCTCTTTTTCCACAATTCTGTTGCCTTGTCCCTTGGCTGTTTTTCCAACATCGTGTTCATTGGGGCTGGTGTCATTGCCTGCAGTTCCAATCTTGCTGCTTCTAGCTTCTTGTTTTGTTTGGCATCAATAAACATGTTGAAAATTTCCTCAATATAGTCTAGGGAAAAAAAACTTTAAAATTTAGGAGCCACTTGGTGGTTTCTAAATTGGATTGTTTGCATACCATAATTTGGTTTCACTTTAACGTTGCGCACTGTAGCTTCCCCATTTTTGAACTTTGGGTAGACCACTTTAACCTGCTCACTGCCATCTTTGTTTTCTTGGTTTTTGCGGTGGAGGTTGTGGTTAAAATGTACAGCTGCGATGATATGCCTGGAAAATAAGATAATGCTATAATTTTAACTGTTGAGACTCAGAAATATAAGTAGGAGGGGTCAGGGGGTATGGTTTTGTCCTGTGCTACATATCACTTGTGCTCTCAAAATTGTCAGCATTGTAGGCTAGGCTACACTTTCAAATGGTATTAGTGAAGTGGAATGTTTGGTAAATTGTAACAGTTATAATTACGGTCATTTACCTGCAGTACAGTCCTTGATATGAGTAGGCTATCATTTTGGGGGCAAACTGGTTAACCACAGAATGAAAACCCTCCAGACAACTTGTTTGGGAAACTGGTGATGCCTTTTTGATGCCCTTGACCAATGATGTCTTCTTCAGTACTTTGCATACTTTCTCATAAACTGTAGTTTCTGCAAAATTTAGTACAAGTATGATGTAACTCACTGAATATTTTCTAATTCCAAAATACTAAGTTAGCATCAAAACAGCATGGTATTAGACAGAGTAAAACAAGTTAGGCCAAGGTACATTGGATTGGATTACACTAAATGCATACCTTCTTCAAGCCATTTCCTGTCTGATATTTCCTCTCCATGAGCACACTTGTTAAAGATGCCATTTGGAAGATATGAGTGCTTGTTGACAAGATGGGGCAAGAAAGATTCAAACTTAGCCCAAATCAATTCACCATCACCAGATGGGGTAGATGTTGCACTCCACATCAGATGGTTTTCACATGGCTTTATCCATATTGTTAGGTCTTCACAGTCTTTTTCTTTACTAATTTTGGTAAGAACTTTGTGTATTTCTAAACAAAACATTGTGTAACTTGAAATTAATTTTAAACACAGTTTCCCCAAATCCTATTTTCCTTCCAACTAGTTTACTAGAGGGTGGGGTATTCAACTGTCAGGCTTCTTGAAGGAGTCAGAATGACAATGGCATTACAAACACTTGCTCTTCTTGAGATGCCACAGGTCAAAATAGTGCTTTATATGGGCAAGATTTTCCCGCATATGTTTGGCAATACCAGTGTGACGATCAGTGATGAATGTCTCAAAAAGAATTCCCCAAACCAGAAGGCTGTCCATGCAGTTTTTGAACCCCAGCAGCTCCATTGCCGGACTGTTACCTGCTATATTTCTCTTTTATATAAAATAAATGAGGATATAGATTAGTAAGGAGGATAATATGCTTTTTAACTTGTAAATTAGTAAGGCTCTGACCCCATGTCAAGAAAAATCATTGGCAGTAAAAGAATAAAGTGGCCAGGGTACATTGTGCCATTGGCAGATACTGGCAGTGTTGTGAGGTTTTTTCCTTCATTTGGGTATTAGGTTTCACATTTGTCAATAAAAGAGTCAGCCATGTTTTTATCTCTGCAACATTCACTTTTGCCATTTACTTTACAGTTACCTAAGTGTTTCTGTAACTAATATAATGATAAAATGACTTATTTTCCACTTGGAAAAGCTACAGTAAGTACTTAAAATGTGGGTGTCTATGCCTACCTGAACCAAGGAAAAATCAATGATGAGGGGAACTGTGCAATAGAACAAAGTGTAGGCACAGTATTTGGCACTGTGACCCATGCTATCATGCCTGCCATCACCAGCAATGACTAGAGACTGTTCTGTTGCTTTCAGCTTGGCCATCATTTTCTCTTGGTATTTCTTCCAGTACAAATGCACAGTGGGAAAGAGTTTGTTCTAAAGAAATAGTTAAAAATAATGTGTCATACTATGAAAGAAAGAAAGAAAGATTTATTATGCACATGATATTAGTATATTTACAAGTTATCTGTTGAAATTATATCTGTTATTATAGACTTAGATTGGATGTGCACAGTAGCCAAAGTAGCGTGAGCTTTCGAGTTGGCTACTGCGTGTTAATAATTTTACATGGAATATAATAGAAAGTAGAAAATCGTTATGGCAAAGTAATCATATCAATATTTAGCTTCTAATTCATAATTTGACAAGTAGGTTAAGACTATATCAGGCAGGATAGGAGGGACTGTTTGTACTGTACTTTAAAGGCTTCAATATTTAAATGTTTTAAATAAGGTGGAATACAATTCCACAGCTTCGAGAAAATAAATTTGATGGTGGATTGACCATAATTAGTTCTTACTTTTGGCCGATAGAAATTGCCACTGGCAGACAGTCTAGTATTATAGCTGTGAATATCAGATATTGGTGTAAGGTAATCATGAAATATGTATGGAAATTTCAATGAATCACTTGACAGTTTTTTTGCAAATGTAGCAATTTTAAATTTCACAATATTGTCAAAATTGAGTATTCCAAGAAGTTTATAGTAAGTAGTTGCTGACTCCATATGATTTGCGAAGAAAATACTACGTATACATTTATTTTGTTTAGTACGAATCTTGGTTAAATTAGTTGTATACGCGCTACCCCAGCTCATAACACCATAAGTTAAATAAGGGTAAATAAGGTTATAGTAAAGTTGCTTTAATATGTAAATGTTAGATAAATGACGTAATTTATAAAAAATGCCAATATTTTTGGCTAATTT